CAGCAGGACTTAGGGTTTAGGGTTTAGGACCCGCTCGCAGTGCCTCGCGCATGCTTTCAGAGAAGTGCAGTGGGGTTGCTTTCCGTCAGGAGGAGAAGAAGGTCTTTGCCTCCAAAGTAGCTGCCGCTCGGGAGCGTGCGATAGAAGCAGCGAAGGCTGCCGCCGGGGCCATGAAGCGGGCTACTCGACTGCAATAGAGGGCAGAAGCTATGACAGAGTTAAGACGAAGAAGAGGAGGCCACCCCTTTATTTGAAGAACTCGAGGTCGGCGGCGATGCGATTCTTCAAGCTCGGGATGCTGGAGAGGCCGCCGGTGCGGCGGCTGCCAAGCTCGGCATGGGCCCGTTGATTCAAGCGACCTTTGCAGGCACACAAGCAGCGGCGGCAGCGAGTGTAAAGCAGAAGCAACCACTTACGCGGTCCGAGCAGCTGGATGAAGCCAACAAGGCAGCCATGGCCGTCGCAGATCGTTGCGAGATGACGGAGGAGGAGATAGAGCTCATCGATGAAGCTACTATCGCCGCCAAAGAAGCGGCAAGCGTCGATGAGCAAAGCGACATTGCGACGTGTTTCGCAGTCGCCTTGGCATGCCGGTTGAGTCTCACTGAAGAAGCCCAAAGCGCTGTCACAGGCTCGTGCTGCAGTGGGTGCACGGGTTGGCAAAGGGCAGCAAGTGCATGGTTTAGGGTTTTGGGGTTTTGGGGTTTAGGGGTTTAGGGTTTAGGGGTTTAGAGTTTTGGGGTTTAGGGTTAGGGGTTTAGGGGTTTAGGGGTTTAGGGTTTAGGTGTTTATGGTTCCTTGGAGGTGGTGCAGCTGCAGCGTCTGCAGACAGTCACTTGACATGCACTAGCTTCCCGCATGTCCTCGGCTTTAACATTTGTAGTATACTAAATTCTAGCGTAATATATTTCTATATATATATATGTATATATATATACATGTATATGTATATGTATACATATATATATATATACATACTGTACATAGTATATAACTGCATCCTGAAACTGGGTTCCGAGCACGACCAAGGACCTGATGGCTACCCGTGACAGCGGCGATGCTTTGCTGGGAGCGTCGTTTGAGACGTTTCCGCAGGAATGTGCAAAGCACAGGTAGGAGCATCGAAGGCTCTTGCACGAGGAGTTTCACATCGGAAAAAATTGTTGACAAGTGGCTGCCGCCTGGATCGCCGATGTTCAAGAACAAGTTTCTTGGACCAGGGCATTGAGGGGCTTGGGTGCTTCACCGTGCTGCATGAAGGGACAGGCGATTTGTCAAGCCCCCAACACACACACATACATCTTGACAAAGTCTGTTTCAGCCCGCTCCATGCTTATCAGTCTACCCCTCGGTCGTCGAAGCCAGGGATCTAGTGGACTTGCAGTCGGGACCATGGCCTGTGAAGCGAGACTTGCCCTCTTGGACAAATCGGGCTGCCTGCCCAGAGAACCCAATACCCCTTCATTAAGAAATATACCCTTAAATCATAATATTAAGGCCCCTATAATTTAAGGTACATTCCTTAATTAAGGGGTATTGGAATCTCTGGGTGACACGTACTTTGGAGCCGGGCTGCTTCCCGAGTTGAGTAACTTGACAGAGGAGCCGGCAGCAGCTCAAGGACAACTGCCATCCTTACAGCTCCGAGTTTCTTGAAGGCAAGAGTTAAGAGGCATAGTTAAATGCTGAGAAGCAAGGCCGTCTGCAACGCATCTTTCGCGCAGCACCTAAGTCCCCTATAGCATGAATGTGACCCGGATCCATGTCTCTTTGGTCTGGCTTTCCGTGCCATTTACCTGGTTGCAGCAGTGAAGCTATGGGTCCAAGCCCTTGAACACGGCAACGCGGAACTTGGACGGCATCACATATGGCCTAGGAAGCCTATGCACGTCCTGACTTGCCGCTTACAAAGTAGAATCAACATTCAGATCGTGGACAGTCATACTCGAGTCATACCCAAATACAACAGCTCAGCATCGTTTCACGAAGCAGTTCGGTCATGGGCATGTGGAGATGCTGCTCAAGAAGCGACGGGTCAGCAAACCTGTGGAACCGCCCTCGCCAGAGCCGGTGATAGCGGATCCGGTGATATGTGTCGATGACCTGGAGGAGACGCCGCCATCCCCAGGCAAGGCAGTAAACAGCATACCTCAGGTGCAGCTTCCCCAGATCAAGCTGCCCAATGCCAAGCAGGCCAGCCGTGCCAAGCAAGCAGTTCCAAAGCATGCACCTGCGCAGCCACAAAAGCCGCAGGGAGAGCAGGCAGAGCCAAAGCAGCCTGCAAAGCCGCAGCCCAAAGAAGAGCCCAGCAACCCTGGGCCTACGAAGGATGCCGATGCAAAGCATGCAGCTACGATGGCCACCGCAGCTCCTGCCAAGAGAAAAGCGCCCAGTGAGATGCCAGCAATGGACACGAGGCGTTCCAGCTTGGCCGGCTTGGTGAAATTGCTGAGTGAACCAGCGCCACAAGTGCCGCCAGCACCCACAAAGCAGCCACCAGCATCCAACTCACGAAACTCCAGCTTAGCCCGGTTTTTTGGTGAGGCGGAGATTTTCCCGGATGAAGGACGTGGCTCCAGAAGCGTGGGAATAACCGTAGTAGCAGCATGCACCTTTCTATAAAGGCTTCTAATAGGGCCTCTTCTTTGTGGAAATGAAATCCTGCAAGCTTTGGAGGACCGCCGGCAGTGCGGGTGGATGATGCCAATGCAGCTCCGACAGCTCAAGCTGCCATGGCTCCCATAACCTCAGGGTGGACCCCCGCGCATGGCAGCGCCACCCTGAAAGAGCGCCTCGGAAGCATGCAAGGAATCGCTCTGCGCTGTGTGGTCCGTTGGGCTCCGGACGCTAAGGTTGCTGTCGCTGGTTGCGAAATCACCGCAGGCGGCCGAGAATGCGGATTCGGATGATGGGCCGAAGTGGCAAGCAGCCAAACGAGCCCAATTGTTGTGCTTGGAACTACAAGACTTCAAGTCCTTCAAGCGCAAGAAGATCGACCTGGAAGGTCAATCCCTCCGGTGTCTCGTGGGATGCAACTCGAGTGGCAAGTCTGCCATCTTGGATGCCCTTCGCTTCCTGCTCGGGAGACGCTGCGACCGTGGTTTGCGCAGCTTCATCCGCAGAGGGAAGCGAGATGCTGCCACCTACGCGAGGGTGACAGCCAAGTTCCGCGTGGAACGACCAGGAAATGGACAAGGCTCGCTTCTCCAGATACTTCGGAAAGGGCTTTCAGTAGCTCTTCGTTCACCCAAAAGGCTTGTGACGTCCGCTCTGAGCAGGCACCGTGACACTGATGCGAGAAGTCCGTGAGCATCCGGACTCGGCTGACAAAGAGGCGTACATGACCTCGAATTGGGTTTCTCAGGAGGCCGGAGAGCTTGTAGAGATCTCAGAAGCGGGATACCAGGCATGGCTATCACAGGCCCTCCTGAGCCTTTGATGATATGAGCTTCATTGTGGATATATTATCTGAAACACTGTAGCGAGCCTGACACTGTGCAGCACCGCCAGCACCAAGGGCATCCGATGGCGATCTTCTAGTGCCGCAGTTTGGTCTGATGGACAGCCGGAGTGCGACTGTTCTTCTGGCCATGATTCCGGCTGAGCTGGAGAAAGCGGGCGCCGAAGCTTTGCCGTATCAGACATGATGGCCCTGCACCATGGTCTAGGAAAGCATGGGGTTTGAAACTGCATGCAACGTATCCTGAGTGAATCCACAGGCTATCCAGGCTTCTGGACCCTTGCTGAAGCGCAAATCCGCCAAGACGGCCAGGCCAGGATCCAAGAAAACTCGATGTTTACCTTCGCCTCTGTGCCTCTGCCTCGGCCCTCTTTACCTGTCCAGGACGGCTCCTGGCGTGGAAGCCGGTGTCCTGCGTGCCGAAGCCTGGCTGTCACGGCGTGTGGACGAGATCTACAGGCAGCTGACACGCGAACCCGTGGATGACAAACTGGAGGCCAGGGCCGGCTGCAGGTTCTTGTGGTAGTTTTCTGAAGAATAGGCCGTGTCGTCTGCCGCGCTTCGGGGTAGTAAACCTGCCGGACGAAGTTTGAAGTGTCAGGAATGGGGCGAAGGAGGACAGGCCCTACTCCAACGTCAGCCAGATGGCTCCTTCGATCTACTGACCTCCGTGCGGCGGGGTGCTGCCGCGTGCGGCTATGGCACACCTTTGAAAAGTTTGTCAGATGGGGCCAGGTGGGGTTTGCAGTTTCGGGAACCTTATATAAGCAGCCGGAGCAGCTGACTTCCCAGGGATATCTGCGCCCTGAGCCTGCTCTTTGCCCTGCCGGGATTCATGAACGGAATCTCGGCTGCAGCTGCCGGCGTATCTGCCGCCGCCCTAAACCCTAAACCCTATAAACCCTAAACCCTCTCTGCATCTCTCTGCCTAGGCATGCAAGATGCATTGCCGCCCTTTATGGTGCTGGACGAGCCGGACGCTGCTCGTGATTTTGTGTTTTTTCGAGGGAACGTCAATGTGCTATTATCATTATCATTATTAGTATTATGATTATTGGTATCATTGCTATTATTGTTGTTATATACCTATTCTTATATACCCATTATAATTTTTGTTAATATAATTTTCCTATTACTACTACGTGAGGATTCCCGGCTGGACAAGCGCCATGCGAGCGCACTGCGGCACTTCTTACAAGGCCCTGATGGCCCGAAGCAGTGCCTCTGGATGAGTGGCGAACTCAGAGTATTCCTATTTCTTATTATTAGTATTATTGGTTATTGCTATGAGTACTATTCTTCTGTTTTGCTTCCCGCAGTTGCAGCGCCAGTCCTTTGAGGCTTGAACAACCATTCAGCATTTTCCGAAGATTCCGTCCTGGAGGAGGATGAGGTGCAGGGGTTTTAGGCTTTAGGGTTTAGGATGGTTTCGGCTTTCCGACCTTCCCCGGCAGCCTTTCCTGCAGACCAACTCGCAAGTGCATGCGCATGCCATCGCATGCCAGGCAGATGCTTGCGAAAGCGCCCTGCCTGAGAACTTGGAGTTGCTCCAGGCCCCTAAACCCTAAACTCTACCCATAGGCTCCTAAGTAGTTCCTTTTTATGGTTCATATTTAGAATCCTGTATGCTAATCCCCAAAAGGAACTATTAAGGAGCCTATGGGTAAGCCCCTGACGGATCTCCGTGCGCAGTGAGCTCCTGGCAGGGCGCGGAAGAAGCGCCCAAGTCGACACCGCCTGAAGCCTAGACAACGAGACCAAGAGCAGACCCGAAGAGTTCCGAAGTGATCCGAAGTGTGCTGTTTGTATATCATTTACATAGGTATACAAATATTTAAATAAGAAAAATAGATACATCCACAAATACATACATAAATAAATTATATTATATATATATATATAGATGTACATTAATATAAATAAATACATAAACAAATATATGTATGTATATATATATATGTTCATATATATATATATATAGAGAGAGAGAGAGAGAGTATGTATTGTTATTATTGGTCTCTTCTTATTATTGTAATTTGTTGCATCTGCCCAGGGATGGGGCCACCTCAAGCAACAGGGACCTCATCAAGGTCCCGCCACGAGTCTGCCAGCCACTTCGCTCCCACCCTGCCATCCGAAGCCTTGCAACCCTACACCCTAAACCCCTAAACCCCTAAACCCTAAACCCCTAAACCCTAAACCCTAAATTGCAACAGGTGAGATTTCTTTCCAAAATGTCTGCCCGCATCAGAGAGGCTGGGTCCGTGAGACTGCTGAAGCAAACGTGTTCACGTGCTCTGCATACCCATAGGCTCCTTAGTAGTTCCTTTTTGGGGACTAGCTTATAGGATTCTAAATATGAACCATAAAAAGGAACTACTTAGGAGCCTATGGGTACTGAAACAGATTGGCTGTCATGCTGAATCTTGCATGCTTGGTCCAAGGCCAAGGGTACGGCATGCCCTGAACCTTCTGCAATGAGCCCCATGCACAAGCACCCAAGAGCCATGGTGGACCCAAGCGTGCATGCCTTTTTCGACGAGCATCTGCGGCGGTCGGCAAACCAAACTTGCTGTGATGGTGCCTATAACTCATTGAGCCTCACGCTTTCTGCTTACGCGGTTTGTGTTCCACCTGGGATGCCCCTGTCAATGCACGAGGTGGAGGTGTAGCACCTTGCTGGGCATCAGTGTCCCATGGCACCTACATCAGCATCGAAGCTTCCGGAATCCACCGCAGCCTCGGCGTGGCGACAAGCTTCGTTCAGTCACTGTATCTGGATGCCTGGAAGCCGGTTCATCTGAAGATGATGGAGCTCGGAGGCGACATGCACACATAGACAGGTACTGTAACGCTCAAGCAGGCATTGCAAATGCATACGTGCTTGCGTGTGCACGAGAGAGAGAGAGAGAGACAGTCTCCCCGGGGACGCTGACCCGTCCCCATGCCCGAGAGAGAGAGAGAGAGAGAGACTGTGTGTGTGGCTAGGGGAGCTCCCTAGTCCACAGCCCTAACGAAAGAAAAGAGTGTGTGTGGGTGTGTGTTGGTGTGTGTGTGTGTGTGTGTTGTGTGTGTGTGTGCGCGCCCATGCGTGCAAGTGCATGGCGCATCCACGCGCCTGCGACAAGGTAAGACCACAAGGACGGGCTTACAAATAAACAATGTGTTTCCTGGCATGGAGTTTGATCTGGCGAGATTTAACGAGGCAACGAGCGATTCCAAAAGTTCATGGAGGCGCAGGGTGTGCCAGAGGACATGCCCATCAGGGAAAAGTATAGCACTCGTGCAGCCCCTTGCTGCATATCAGTTGCAAGTAGGTACACTGACCAGTAGGTAGCATGAAATTCATGCTGGTGCCGAAGTGTGCGAACGTTGTCTAAGGCGAAATGGTATCGAGAGGCCGCATGGCAGATCAAGTCGGTAGACACATCGCTTCTAAGAGTAGGAAGCAGGGAAACCACTTTGAACCCTAGAGCCCTAGCACCCGTAACATCCGGCAGCCTCAAGCCCTAGACGTCCTAAAACCCGTAAAAACCCAAAGCACTGATAACCCTAAGCCCCTCAAGCGCTCTCTTTCAACATTCTGGAATCTAGAACCATCGTTTTTAGTAGATAGTTCTATATCATATGTTATAGCACATATTCTTTTATATACTATAAATACATAATATGTATATATATATATATATATGCACATACTATGTTATTATATATTCGATTATCCTTCCAGCCCCTTTTGAGTGGCTTGAGGCCCTGCGAGCAGAAGCCGAGGGTCAGCCGCTTCCAGCGCCTCTGGCACCGGGCAGCGGCCCGCTTCCGGCAGAGAGCCCGGAAGCACGAGGTCTCTCGGTTTAGGGTTTAAGGTTGAGAGTTTAGGGGTTTAGGGGTTTAGGGTTTAGGGGTTTAGGGTTTAGGGTTTACGCAAGGCACAGC